AAATCACATTATACAGAGAGAGGAGAGCTTTTTGGGTTTCAGTGGGAAGGTGTTTTAACATTTAATATGCCACACGGTCCGGGCCTGGGGCAGATTTATTGCAGCAGGCAAGTGAGGCCTGCAGTTCAGCCAAACAGAAATGTTCGTTGTATGCCTCATGTGTTCTGGGCTTGCGCTCTAATCTCTGTTTTTCTATTGCGGTTTTGTATCGTGGGAATGCTTCACTATAGTGTGTCGAGCTGGAGACCTGTTCAAAGTGCGCTCCGAGAGTGTTTGCCTGGTCTTCCAAACTCTCCCCTTGTGTGTTCACTAGAGGAAGCGAATGTGCTCCTCGCCCGGCCACCTTACCAACCATGCTCCAGACTCTCGACTCATCTGTGTATGAGTTAATGCCCGATACAAATTTGTGTCAACTTTCTCTTCTCGCCTGTCGGCGCGTCCTCCTTGCTTGCGACTTGACGTTCTTAAAGTTCACAAGATTCTCGGCTGTGGGTGAGTCTCTAAGCCACTTCCACGCCTTATTTTGTTTTGTTCAAGCATCACGGCACTCATTATTCCACCATGGGACTCGTCGTTTGCTTGACGGCCCACATGGTAGGGGATTATATTTCGTTGCTGCATCAACCAAGAAAGCTGTAAAGTAGCACACAGCATTTTCTATGCTCAACGCCGCCATGTCAGTTGAAGGTAAATGAGTCATTTTTTGAAAAGCTCTCAGCCATGGTTTGAACGAACAAAGTCATCTGATTGATTGATTGATATGTGGGGTTTAACGTCCCAAAGCCACGATATGATTATGAGAGACGCCGCAGTGGAGGGCTCCGGAAATTTCGACCACCTGGGGTTCTTTAACGTGCACCCAAGTCTGAGTACACGAGCCTACAACATTTCTGCCTTCATCGGGAATGCAGCCGCCGCAGCCGGGATTCGATCCCAGGACCTGTGGGTCAGCACCCGAGTACCTTAGCCACTCGACTACTGCGGCGGTGCATACGAAATCATCTGTGACCGTCACTATGTTTAATTTCATGCATCAGGTGCGACTACGCTGTGGAAGCTATGCAAGAAGTTCGGTCAGCAATATGTGAAATAACACGCTTCTCGCGCTTGGCTTTCATTACTGTAAACGCTTGTGTGGGACGAGCATGAACGCGCACGCACAGCCATGCGAAAGGCTACGAAGAAAACATCAAGGAATGAGGACAAGGAGACGGTAAGTGATCCAGAGCAACTTTTAATAATAATAATTGTTAGCGTTAAATGGCCGAAACCCCCATGTGATTATAAGAGACGCTGTAGTGGAGGGTTCCAGAAATTTCGAGCACCTAAGGGTTCTTTAACCAGAGCAACTTACAGACAGCCGTATAACGAGGGGTCTTTATCTTGGACGCACAAAACATCTTCATTTACTATTAAGCCCACAGAGGAAAATAAATCATGTCTCAGACGAAAAAAGTGATCGTACTACTAGTGGAAACGCATTTATTGCAAGAAGTATCGCTAGCCTCCACAGCGTTGCACCTAATGTATGAAACAGAGTATAGTTGCGGCCGCAGATGAGTTCGTTCGTTCGTTCAAACCACGGCTTAGAGCAGCATGACCGCGGCACGCAAATGCCCTAGTCACGTGTGTGTGTTTTTTTTTGCTTTTTTTATTTCACGGAATTTCCTTGCAGCTTGAAATAAAAAGGGTATAAGTGAGACTTTATTCATCGCAAATAATGCAGTGGGAATTTCTGAAGACACTCTCGAACTTTGCAAGTCACATATCTTGCCTAAAGCCAATATTAAGCAATATATCTAAACTATTTTATTGAGCAAACTAATTATTTGCAAAACAAAAATTGCCTGTAGTGCGTATGGTGGCTGTCAGCAATATGCAACTGATTTCACACGGCTATCTCTAATGCGGTACGTTTTAGCCACCTGGTATAAAAAAAAAATCACCGCAAAAGTTGACGGCTTCTGTTTGAGCAATCGTGGATCGTCCACCCGACAACGGGCAGTTTGCGATACACGACGAAAAGCAACGAAACCGTGTAAAAAAGAAGGCGAGGTCTACCAGTGGAATCGACGTCCTCTCACATACACAACGCCATCGCACGGGGCGAGCCCAAATGGTCTCGCAGCACGAGAGGGCAGTTGCTACTGGCGCAGGAGTATCGGTGCTCGAGAGACGCGCAATGAACACACATAACTCGGAGGCGTGCTAGCATCGAATTCAGAGGCCGGGTTTAGGAAGGGCGAGCGAAAGAAATCCCCGCGTGCGCGCCCTCTGGGCCCCCATTTCACGCAGCGAGACGCCGCAGAGGGCGTGAGACAAGAAGCCCCCCGGATCACGCAACAACTTCGTTTCGCGCGGCGGAACGTGTCTCTTTCCGGAAGCGAGAATCGATTCCACCACGCTCCGATTGTGCGCCCCTCTCCACCAACCTTCTTTACTACAAACCCTACGCTGCGGCCTTCCCTCGCCACCTACTCCATATACGGCCTCGAATACTCCGCGCCGCGCGATTCGGCTAGTATACACACAACCGCGCGGATCGTTCCATCAGCCCAGCTCGGAGCGGGAGGACTCAATCTTATGCCCGTTTAAGCGGGTCGTAAAAGGGCTCTTTAGCGGTGAATACAACCTTCTGGCAGATTCCTCCCCCGCACCGATGGAGCCTCTCCACCCGATTCCCACTGTTTTTTTTTTTGTTTTTTTGGTTTTTCTACTACAGGACTACGTCACACACCACCGTAGGAACAAACGAGTGAGAAAAAACAACACTGCGCATCTACCATGAACGACTTCACACGTCATTACTTTTTTTGGCGTGTAGAGGAATAAAACGAATTAAGTTGGCGTTGTCGCGGATCCCAAATTACCGGCGAGCCCCTCGTGCTGAACACAAGCGGGAGGCGAACAGACGTCGTTGTCAATACAGCTTGGCGGAACACGCCGCGATGCCACTCTGTGCGAGTTGCAAGGGTGCTGTTGTGCTTTATATCTTGCACTGTATTGCACCAGCTAAATAGTGAACATGTTTGTTCGAAGCAATAAAACATTTAGTCTCGCCGCACAACACAACGAATTATATTTCAGAAAGAAAGTGTCTCAACTGCATGCTCTTAAGAAACGACAGACGACAATGAACGAAATGTGAGCGTGCAGTCTCCCTTTATCACACGTAGCCACATTTGTGAACTGAACTGGGAAATTTTCATTAAGGATAGCCTGCATCTCAAGTAATCATTTGCCTAGATGGATTCCTTATTTTAGTGATTTTACCATTCGTCCACAATCACGTCACGATGCCTGCTCTTGTGGACGTATTTTGAGTCCTGTTGCACCTTTTGCAAGTTATATGGCAAAGTGACTAACCCAACAACACGTCTAAACCCATTCTTTTCACTATCATTACTTAATGGTTGTTTAATATTCTTTGATGTTGTTGGTGTCATTTTTTATGTAGTGTATGTTTTGCGAATATCCTGCTGGTCGTACATTTTTTTTTATGTCACGCCAAGTTTAAGACTACATTGCCGCAATGTGGCTTCGTTGGTATGTCCTCATGAAATACTAATGCAACGCAAACAAGGCAAGAACTTCATAGCCCCATGTCTGTATAATTGTAATTTTTTCTGTGTCCTCGCTTTGCTTATGCTACATCGGCAATTAGTCTCCGAGTTCACCTCGCAGTTTCCATTATCACCTGTCAGTGAACATTTTACTCTCTTTCTCAATGGTTGTTGTACGTCCTGCATGAGTGTCTTCTAAACGGAGGCTGATTTTTTATTTCGTTATTTTTATATAAACGTAATTCATGTTAGTTCGAGGCCCACTTTTGTAAGTTGTGCATACTGCCCATAGCTCGCGTTCATCGAGCTCCCGAACTTCTGCCGGGCTTCGAGGGGAGTTCGCCATGGTCTTCACTTCTTTCGCCTATGGGGGCCCCAGCAGGGGTGTTAGGCAACCGGGGAGCAGCAATAAAAACAAAAACATCGCGTTTTGTTTAATTGTAAAATTGTTTAAAATGGTTATAAAAACATGTGAATACGAACAGAAAAGCATTCAAACAATCGTTTTATAGTAGCCGAGTAGACAATATGGCACTGTGACGGTCAAATTTAAGACAAAAAAATCAATATTAAACACATCTATCGATGCACCATTAAAGTTAACATACTACAATTTTTTTTAGAATTACCAGATGACACTGAGATTATCATGAAGGACACTTGCTTAATGTGAGCTTTTCCACGCTTCGATAACATAGGCGAGAAACCGTTTTGTTGAACGCGTTGGTTTATCCATCAAGACGACGAAGGCTCATGGAGAGATGCCAAGTGCTTGTAAGCGGGGTTAGTTTCAAGCCATGTAAATGAGGTAGTTTGAGGTATAATTATTTGAAGGAATCATTTTGTGAGACCTATTGTGTAACAGCTGCAGGATGTTACTTCGTTATTGCTTTCAAAACTCACATTTCATAAGTATGTTTTTTTACGTGGCGACTGTGGATGTGTCATTATAAGCAAAACTATGTTTTGTTTATAATGACACTCCCACAGTCCCACAAATAGAACCTAAGCACTATTTTCTGTTCTGAAATTCGCAGTCACCATCAGGCATAACAGAACGATACGTCGCAAGCTCTATAGCGAGCTAAACAAGCACTGACGAAGCGTCATGTCGAAGGTCAGGTTTTCTGGTACATTGAGCCCAAGTATTTCTGCATTACTACACCCCATTTTCTATCAAACCTTAAATCATCCTTGCTTGTGAAACAGGATATGAAGGAATCATTTGACAAAGCTTGAAGAGCATACTCAATTATTTGCGATCCTTTTTTTTCTTTGAATAGCTGGAACTTGCGCCGTAAAACACCATATGCGATCAAACACAAAGTTTTCCGAAATCGCCGCGCATTCACTTTCATAATGATGTTACCTATGTGTTTCTTAGTGGCAGTGCAGCGAATGCTCGCGTGGAATCACCATCCGTGCCCGATGCCGCAGGTTACGGGAACATCGCACCGAGCACCACCACCGGCCGGGCAGCGACCATCGCTTACGCATTATTTGGCATTCCACTGCTGCTCATGGTGCTGGCCGACCTCGGCAAGCTATTCACACGCCTCATCAAGCTCGCCTTCAGCACCATTCGGCGTTTCTACAACACTAAGAACATGCGCAGCCTGCGCAGGGCCAGCCGAAGGGCCACCGAAGCACCGGGACAGGTGAGCCCAGCCGTGTGCCGCAGCTTGCGCCTAAAGTTAGCTCTTTCCGCATTCCCGAATGCCCGCATCAAAAATTAATATCTTGAGAACTTTGGCAGCATGTCTTCTGTGCTTTATTACACGGAGAAAAGCACTGGCTATACAATGACGCTGTTCGTGGCAGATTACCCGTCGCTATGCCACGGAGAAAACATCCTTCGGCAGAGCGGGATCGACGTTCGGCAAGTTGGTGCAGAGCTTAATGCCACAAACTGATAACAAGCTAAACTAAAGCATACGAGAGGACAGGACGCGAGACTTTCATTTAAATTACTTTCTACTTGTCACCCAAAATGTTCTCCAAAAGTGTGCGCCTCACGTGCCAACTATTCAGTATGCCACATCGCTAAAAGCACACATTCATACTTCTCTGGACAAAGAGAGAAGGCACACTGATGCAGCCATCCTTTTTTTTTATGTGAAATCTATCAAGCGCTTGCTAACGTTTCCCTGCTTTTACCTGCTCTAATAGATGGGACACTGAACAAAATTCAATGACAGCAGAATCCTGCAAGCAATCAAAAAGGGGAAGTGAAAGAAAGCAAGGCATTATTATTCACCGTTCTAGCTAACTGAGCTTGTTGATAATGCTTTTTTTTATTTTCCCCATCCGTAATCCTAATACGACTGTAAGAGCAGTATTAATTTCCCGGAGACACTTCTTGTTATCGTGTAGGACCTATATGCTCAAGTGAAATCAATCTTAATATATGTGGTTAGGGGCTTAGCCTATCCCATCCCATTCTATCACAGAACGTTTTGTTTACGAAACTCTCTGCGGTAATCGCTGCTCTCTCTCTTCGCTCGTAAGAGTGCCGCTTCGTTAAACACTTTGTTGTATTTTATTGTATCACTTTCTCCGACAGAGCCACACAAGTGATGAATGTCTTACTTTCAATTAAGATGTGATGACGAAGCAGTGCAAACTGGTGTACTCCAGCACAAGAGGTGAAATTTTCAGAAGCTTGAACACTATGTTCGAAGTTCGTTCGAAAACTATTTCTAAAGCGATCGATTCGGTTTCGGGGCTTGCTGTTCACACAACCCTGAGATAGCGACGAGAACTCAAGGGTGAAAGAATTTCTAGAACCGGAACTTGAAGGACGTGAACAAAAAATAAATTATCTACGCCGCAGATTCTTGTGGCCTGGAGGACCAAAGCATCGTATCCACCCAGAGAGCGAATACGCCGTGCCCGCTTACGGACGGAGGTCGCTGACGAGGTCGCCGCCGAAGCACGAGTTCCAGTCTCACTAGTGCTGCTCTTCCTGCTGGCCTACATGACGCTGGGCGCACTCATGTTCTCGCTGTGGGAGGGCTGGACCTTCTTCGAGGCATTCTACTTCGTGTTCGTGTCCATGAGTACTATCGGTTTCGGAGACTACGTGCCACAACAGCCAGCGTTCATGATGGCCGCCTTTGTCTACCTCCTCTTCGGCCTGGCGCTCACTTCCATGTGCATTACCGTAATTCAGGAAAAATTGGCAGCCACGTTCGCGAAGGCTCAAGCCCAGATCGGCGTCTCGCTGGGACTCGACGACGCCAGTGGCCTGCTGGGCGGCGCTTATGTGCAGTCGGCGCACAACGGACCCGTTTTAAACGCGCAGCTTGTTTAGGAACCTAGGTGTCATATCACCGGTATTATATTCAGTAGTCTAAAGCGGTTCATGATAATACACAGGCCCTGCTCGACGGCATTTCCACCGATATGAGCGAATGTCACTCGCGAAACACTGCGCAAAGTAGCAATCTACATTCGTTTGCGCGCGTAATGCTAGAGCTTGCAGTGGCGTCAACGAAGGTTTCGCAGCTGTCGAAACATCTGCAGTCAGCGATTTCGTTGACAATAAAAAACATTGAATTATTATTACTTATGCTGAAAGCGCATAAAGCATGACGAAAGAGCTTATTTTTTACTTCTAGATAATAAACGTTGCATCGTACAAACTCCGAACGGATGGCTTAAGTCTGTTCAGTTTACGGTATGCCCATGCCTGCCCATATATAATATAGCAGCTGTACCATTGCAATGCCTACTATTTTTACTTTACATGAAAAAATAACCCTCAGTTGTTTTCCCCGATTTCTGTTTGTTTCGTTAGGTTCTCACTTGATTGATAGCGCGCATTTCAAAAGCAATAAATGTCATGACACGAGATCAGTAGCACGGACAAATAAATTCAAACAACAATTAAGTAGTGGACTTCGATGCACCAGGACCAGAATATGATGCACGCCGTAGTGTTGTGTTGTGACTTCAGATTACTTTTGACCACCTAGGATTCCGCACCTAAATCTAAATGCACGAATGGTTTTTGCCTCCATCGAAATGAGGCCGCCGTGACCGAAAATAGAACCCAGGCCATAAGGCTTAGCAGTGTGACATCCTATACCTGCCAAGTTTCCACAGCTAACAACTTTCCGATACAAGTTGACTTAACTATTATCGCTTATACGCAAAGCATGATGTAAGGGCTCATCTCAAAATTCTGTATAATAAACGATGCATCGTAAGAACCTTGAGCTGATGGCTCAAACCTATATTGTAAACCTGTATTTCATGTATATTGTTAGCCTATATTCTTCATTGATTCAATCACATGTTTTACTCGCGCACGGGAGTAGATGTGCTCCTTCTGCCTCGTTCATGAGAACCTATTTCTTGTGTAAACAGTCACTACATGTAATCATATAAGCAAACTTCTACTCATTCACATTAATAAGTCCTTGAGGGCACGAATTTAAGATGTTTAGTCGACTCTGTTCATAGTTCAAAAACTGAGTAGAAGGCCGAAGCTAGCACCAGTTTATGGCATATTCATTCTCAATATGAACACGTCGTATATGTATACGTATAGCACCTAGCACGTATATGTACGTATACCACCTATACCGTAGTGGAAAACCTCCTCACCCTATCATATAATCAGTGAAATCATTTGTCTAATAAGTGAATCCCAGTAGCCTATAAGCACTGCTGGCATTCAGAGTTTGTTCTGTCCATTCAATCATCACATTAGAGCCGACTGCCGCACCTCAGAAGTTAAATGGCACTTGCCATGGCACGCAGTTATACTGTATCACGTGTGAGGAGGAGTACCGTTGCTGATGGGGGTATAACGTGGCAGGAGCAAGCACAGAACCGGGCTGATTGGCGCCTTTACCCTACAGTGGGTGCAGTCAGAATGATGATGATGATGATAATTGTTATTAAGAGGAGGAGGAGGATGGAAAGGCCAATCATAGGCACGTTCGGTTTGCTCAACTAATTTTCCGACATTTCATCATCTAGCGTCTGTCTGCTCGCGAGAAGGGTATTGAAAAATTGTGACATTTCTCACGGCAGACCGGGTGGCATCAACAGGAATTATTTGGCATCACTGGTATATGATCAAAATTTTCGCTACTTTGTATATTGTATTTGTATATTGTACGCTACTTTGTATTGCAGTGTCAGATGGCAGTCGCCATCTGACACTGCACTGGAGCTGCTGATAGCGCCTCTGACTGGCGTTTGCCACTGTGGTATAGCCATGGAGAAGGAGAGTGCAAATGCTACTCAACGGTGCAGTAGAGCGGAGAAGCTTAACTGATCGGATCCCGAAGCAGTTGGCCGGCAAAATAAATATACATGTGCCACATAATACGTACACGGTGTGTGTGTTATTGGAACAACTGTAAGCATGATAATCAAGCTAATCCTGGACACTCTGGAAAGCTAAGAATAATCAGCTGAACCTTTGCTAACGCCACGTATATCCTGGCATAGCTGAGCTAAGCCACTGCCATTTTTTTTTATTTAAAATATATGTCAGTGCGTTAGCTGAATGTGGGCAAGATGTTTGTTATGCAGCAACGCCAAGCCTTGTGCTTTGAGTTGGGCCCTGAGATGAAATTTGTCTGAGCCTGATGAAGTTTTGCTTCTGAGTTCTATTTAAAAAATATTGGAAGCTTCCTCGGCATCCTCGCATTTTCTCAAGCTGGCGACATTTTCAGCACGAAATACGAGGACAGCGTGATGCCGCTGTTGGGGAAAGTTTAAAAAAAAAATCTCATTCAAATAGTTTGCCTCAGGGTCACCAATAACTTGTTATTTTTACTTACACTCTGTTGTGCTCCATATAGAACTCCATTCTACAATAAATCAATTCATCCGCCATGATGGCATAGCAGGCAAGGTGCCGTGCTGTTTAGCTAATGGACGCGGGCTCGATTCCCAGCCTCGGAGGCTGCATTTTGATGGGGCCGGAATGCACTGACACCCGTGTGCCTCGACTTAAGTGCACGTAAGCACCACCTCGTGGTCAAGATTAACGCGTAGTCTCCCGCTAAGGCGTGCTTCACAATCGTATTAGCGTTTCGACGTGACGAACCTCAGAAATAAAATAATTTTTTGCAACAAAACAAATAACGAGTGTCATGCGACGTAGTCTGCTAAAAAAAATGTGACCACGTCCAAGCTATATTTGGCAAGAAAATTATTTCGGATATCTCAAAGCGATCATGAACCATTTGCTGTTATCATGAAAAAGCTGTTTCTAGTTTGCTGTATCTGAAGCGCGAATATACAACCGCGCCGATAATACAAAAGTACACAGCCAAAAATCACCAAAGAGCCTTGAGTGTCCTTGCCGTGACCCCGTGCAATGGTCTGCATTGGCGGTAAACCAGACGGTATTGTGAGCGAAAAATGATGTCCATAAATAAATCACCACCCGCAGCCCATCAGTGGGCTCATCGTGACAAGATAAGGCAACGCCTTTCCGTATATATAAACGGCGTCCACTCCGGGAGAAGTGCCCTGTCTGTTCCTTCACCGAGGGAAAGCTAAATATATTATTATTATTATTATTATTATTATTATTATTATTATTATTATTATTATTATTATTATTATTATTATTATTATTATTATTATTATTATTATTATTATTATTATTCCTCTACACGATAATTTAATTCAGCGAACCAGATAAGAGTCATCACTTCAGCTGCATCGAGTCCATTTTCGTCTGTCGACTCATGCTTGGAGACGACAAATGGCATCCTGGCTGCATGAGCGCTAGCTATTCCTTAGACGCGCAAGGAGATTGCTGAGCCACCATTAGCCTTGTATTTGAGAAAATAATTGCGGATCTAGAACATAACCAGGTGTATAGCCCCTTTAGTCACGATTTATGATGCGCTGTCAGAAACATGTCCAATTCGCGCGGCATAATTCTATGGCACTCAGAATTACATTCCAAGTAAGAAAATGAAGGAAAGCGTTGTTTACTGATTATTCTATTCTGTTTGATTCTGTTCTGATTACTCTTTATCTGTTTATCTGAATTATCTGATTATTCTGCCACAAGTAAGCTTCAGCACCTGAGTAAAAATAATCCACCATTAGGCACGAAATGCATGCACAGTTTTTTTTTCTTGAATTTGTGTTGAACAAAAAAAAAATACTTCATACGATTGTCCTAGAACGCGTCACGTCGGAAAGTCGTCGAACATGGTAGTATATCCCGCAAAGTGATCCTCTGCTGCAGTATGCAGCATAATGAAGTTAAATGATCGCCAGTTGTCAACTCAGGAGGCCTGCAGGAACGTGCACTCTAAGTTTCAAACCATTTGACAAACCACGTGGTGCGTTACGTGACGTTTAAGTCGGCGTGTACACTTGCGCACATCGAGACTGAAAAGGGTTGTGCTAATGAATTCCGCGACGGCCGCATTTTTAAGGGAGGAGACATTTAAGGAAGGAGACAAAGTGCTGAAGACCGTGTGCTTAGATTGGGCGCACGTTAAAGAACCCCGTTTCTCCTAGCCATGTTATGGTTTTGAGACGTAAAAGTCTTACAATTAATATTACTAAAGTTTAGTGCGACACCCTTTGCGTCCACTCTGTCGCTATAGGTATAATTCTCAAGCGGAACCCACCACAATCATAATTGAGACGCATTCAGCAATGACTATCAAGCCATGTATATGCTCACATATATATCAGCCGTACACATGTGCCACAAAAAGCGTCACCTACATCTTGAACCTGCTCCTATATAAGACGCGAATATTTAATGCCTCCACCCCCACTCCCCTTGTCAGATGTTTTTTTTTTTTTTTCGTATGGTACTGCAGCGCCATTTAAGTGAAGCGTTACGCGGGATCAGCCGGTACGGAAGTTTTGGTACATTGCACGAGCTCCACAACATTTCCGTGCATCCGTGATAAACATTCCGCTTCCTTTTAAAACAGGCAGCGAGCAAGCGGAAATAGAGCAGTGTTTCCTTATGTAAAACATGCAGAGGTTGAGAACGACCACCGTATCGTGAGGCAGATGACACAGTTCGCTTACGCTGTTGATGGCACATGCACTATATCGACTAGCTCCGCAAGCGCGCAGCCAAGACTTAGCATGCTTTCCATCTGCGTTTGCTTTCATCAGCCGTTGGCGCAAGTGGCACCACGTAAACATTTTAAGCGTCGGTACGTTGAATTTTACCGTAATCAAGGAGAACGGCAAAGCAACCCCGATAAGTAAAACTGAGCACTAAAGTAGTGCATCAGCAAGAGTCGATGCACGCACCTGCAGCATTCATAAAGGGGAAACAGCTTAGGTAGGCGTATATGTAGGCCATTTGCATATTAAGAAAACACATTGCGCTCCCGGCAAGTGGTGATAAATACAGATGACGGCACTAATAACCCTGATTCCGACTCTTCACAATGGGGAATTTCATACAACCTGCACGCACACTGCTTACAACTCACAATCCGTTCCAGTTCGCTTTGCAGTTAATACCACCACGATTTCTTTATAGCGCAGCAAGTAATGCAACTAACTCAAAATGTAATTGCACAAAGGTCAAGCGCACGCATGTTAGACTCTGCGTATATCAAGGGTAGGTTTATCGAAGAGGTCATGTGAATCATTAATGCGAGAACCGCGCGAAAAACGGGGACACAAAAAGCAACAAACGAGAAACAGGAACAAA